CATACACGATTTAGACAGATTTTTTGGACGCATTGTGACATATCAAAAATCATTTTTGGATAAACCATGTTTACAATTACACATGGTATCCCTCTAAACATTGTACACATAAGAATCATCATGCACAAGCTGTAACCACACAGAGAAGTAAATGTTCCTCATAATTGTTCTGTTAAGATTTTCATAGCTTAATCACTTACAAAACTGACATTTATGGAATGCATCGCATAGATGGAATATACTCGACAATCAATATAAAGATTCATTAATATGAGGTTTAACTTGGCGAAATTTCTGCAAAGTATTTATGCAAAGGTGGCATTCAATATACCATACACAAAATACTAAATAAATAAATAATAAATAAATGTGTGCATGTGCGTGTGCCGCAAAGGTCACACAGCAAGACTGTATGCTGCATATATTGAATGCTACAACAATATTCATCAACCACTGTGGTCAGTTTCTGAGGTATAATGCAGTGTTATGCAGAAATATGTTCTTCACTGATTTTCATAGAATGCATGTAACCAAGCAGTACTCAAGAGGCAACTAAAATACTACTTTCCATAGTGCGACAGAAGATACCAGCAAATACAGGTCAGTACCAGTGCCGAATATCAAGTGCAAACTAATTTTACACTGTCTTCTCACCATGAGAATGAAACACACACCGGGCCACAGACCAGAAGCTACCACAGACGTCCGATTGGCCTCCACTGCTGGCTTTGGATGTGTTTACTTGTTGCAATATATTCCAAATGAGTGGATCTGTCACGACCGGCTCATACACCTACTTCAGAGAGCAATATACATGCATAGCATCTAAACAGGGAACACTATAAAGGCTTAAATGACTTCACATAATCGTGGATGTTTACATTGTTCTTATCCAAGTGAAATGCTCAAAAAAGCATACTTCAATAGTAAATAGAAACAAGTGCCGCAGAGCAACAGCGCTCAACGTGACGTGTACTGTAGCCGGCTATTCTCTAATAAACTCACTGGCAACCGAATCAAGTGCGCCCTCCCGCCACCACGTTGATAGGCTTTGCTATACGCGGTATACAGTAATAATATATAGCTGTGTCGGCTTTAATGACTTCGCTATATTAACGTTATCATGGATATGCGTCGAGCGCGAGCGTAGTGGTGTGGTGGGGGAGGTGCGGGTAAGGGGGGGGAGGGGCGGGTAAAGGGGGCTCTAATATCAAAAGCAGTTCAGTCCTTTGTTAACAGTCAACAAATCCATGTTTAACTCTCCTCTTGGGGTTCAAAAGATTATCAGACACTTACTCTTCGCACGTCAGTGGAAAGCAAATTTCATGGTCCTTTCAATAAAGCCATAAAAATGGTAGGTCACCGCTAGAAACAAAAAAGTTTTTCAATCGCTCCGTCAGACCATGTCCTCAGAAAATGTCTAAAATCTGCCCTGTGCCCCCATTGACCTTTGACCTGTGACCTCCAATTTCGGCACAGTGATGGCTTTTCCTACCTTGATGCTATACACCGACTATCATGAGCCTAGATCGAGCCGTTTAGATTTGTGCCGCAATTCTGCATTTCCTCCCTATACCTTAAGTTAAGGAGGGAATGTTCCCCCTTCTTTTACACCTCTTGACCTTTGACCTTTGACCCCCAGCTGCGACATCCGAACACGTTTTCGGATTCCCCCCCCCCACGACAACCACCAACCCACGTCCCAAACATCGTGACTGTACGTCGAGCTGTTAAGATTTGTGCCCAACTGTTGACGGACGCACGGACGGACGCACGCTCATGCGATTCTACAAGCTGCATCTGACTATGTCAGATGAGCTAACAAATACTGTTAAGTGTGTGAAGACCTCTATCCTACAGGTCCTTCATATATCACAATGATGCAAGAGAGAGGGATGCATGTACTGTATTTGTCTGATGGAATTGCCATAAAAATAAGCAATGCCTATCACCTCATTTGTTCATACCTAGCCTATTTACATAATAGTCTTTCTACAAGTCAGCCTATATTCACTAATTCTTGCTTAAAACCTTCTATATGCAAAATTGTACAGTTTATGACTGGCAAGTGATATGAAAGCACTAATGGCTTTAGGCAACAAAAATGAAACACCTATCTCACAATTACTGAACAATGCAGGTCTCTGAAGTAACAGTGGCAGCAGATCTTGTGTCACTGCTGTTGGTGCTGGCTTTACGTGACAGACTCGACCGTACCTTGCCAGCAGCTCCGCTGCCGCTGCCTAATATCTTTTTGATCTCTGCAAGCTGCAGAATAACAGAAATCTAGTTCACGTTGATCATATAACTTACTGTTCGCCCCATCTAGATTATAAAATGCATACACAGGAATTTTTTAGACCTATCTAAACTTGTTAGGTTAGACTACTGAGTGTCTATGGCATACCATTAAAACATCAGCAGTTTTCTATTAATAGGCATTAATCCCGAATAACTTGAAAACCTCCCAGAAATCACTTTTCAGTGACAATATTGAAAAGAATACGAATATTGTACATTAATAACTATAAGGTGTATAATAATTATATGGCTTGGCATACCCCGCTTACTATAGGAAGAAGACAAGAAGAAGTGTAACCTAGTTAATACATAGGTGTTAAATAAAATGCTCAGCTTACTTCAACAACAGTAATGCCCTGCTGTGCTGCAACTTCTATCAAGCTCTGAATGTTTTGCTAGAAAAAATACATTTTCAGAAATCAATTTGCAAGACATTTTTTTATGGCAGATGTAACAATGAAGCAATATGTTAGAGTGAAAACAATACTAATTAGTGCTGGATATGGGACCCAATGTTATTGACTGAGAAAGTTTAATAAATTATGGTTGAGCCTACTGTAATGAGCAAATTCACCACATCATTGCTTCCCAAAGAAGCAGAAATGAAGATTTTCGTTCTTTAAAGGAGTGCAATTTATTTAGTAACTGACCAATTTTCCTTCTGCCTGCTCTGCTCGTCTTCGGTACATGGCTAGTTGAACTGAACGTGTTTGCAGTTCTTCATCCTACCGAGATAAAAGCATACACTTAAAATCGTAGCCTGTATTTACCATGAAACTTCATAACTCATGAGGTGAGCGCGTTAGGTTAGACTGCACCGGGAAAATTATACATACACTGGAGTACACGAAAAATACTTCGCATGAATTAACATGTCCACCATTCTGTTAGTAGTTATCATGCATCTAACTCCAACAGTAAAAGTGGACTTTATAACATTTGTACCAAAATACTGACTCACAGCAATAGGCTAGAAGAGGTGACGAGCCCACACGACACATTAAAGACTGACATCCTAAATTATCTGCCAGCAGTGTGCAAACTTTTTTAACAACATCGAATGCTTCATTTCTACTGTCATTCTCCCCATAATGGACTTAGCCCTGCACAAGATGATGAGAACTAAGGTAATTTAACTAAGGTACATGACAGGGCTCCCTCTGGATGTTTTATAGTTTGAGCCAAGACTTGAGACCCCAAAGTTATTTCTTAGCCACCAATAAAAGTTATAGACACTGTTTGCTTTATCATATATGCTAATCAAGGCACAAACAGGTGATGGGTATGGAAAAAGAGATGTACGAAGACATTTTTAATAGTAATCAAGTAAATATCAAATAATATAGTCTAGTCTACACAACACTAGGTTGTTTTATTTGAAGGCAAGTTTAAAATATGACTGGGTTACGGAATTTGTTAGTACTTACACGACACTGCAACTAGACGATTTTATAATATTCAACTGTAATTTTGTAAGCAGTTAAATCATTCGCTAATTGTATTTGCCCCTTCATGTAGTAAAATCACCACTGTTATTTATTTATCGCATTTTGTGAAAGTGACGAAGGGCAGCGGTAGCCCTGCATTATGTATCTATTATGTATGTAGGGTACTACACTTTCACCTGTATGACACCATTCAGACTTGCGACGCTGCTGCTGCTGCTTCTGGCACTGCTTATCATCGACGAAGTGGACGGAGGTGTGTTCATCGTGCTACTCCAGTCCTCCTGCTTACCCCATACCTCAATGATCATTGCAGAGTTGATAAGATAGGTGAGAAACTGAAAAACCATGTCGAAAATCAGCTATGGCTGTGAAGAGGTATATTTATCAGGGGCAAATATCATAGGTGTGGTTCCTAATGAGCGATCTCGATCCAGGCGACTATGGAAGGAGCAAAGACGAATGAGAGCAATGAAAGGACGGCAGTGTCAAGACAGCTAGATTAGATTATGCGGTATCAGAGAATTGCTTTTCGTGATAACCTACTCCGTGAGATAGAACAGAACAGAATTTGCCCAATTACTTCTGAAATTTTTGGTTACAGTATCATGCCAGCACTGCTTCATTATATGGAGGCGACACCTTTACATACAGTCCCAACCAGCAGCACAAATTTTGCACGTCTCTACGTACATATCTTGCACGTACCTGCTTTGTGACAGGATTGAAGCTCAGCAGCTTCTCGTGGTTGATCGCCTGTGATGACTGAGATACCCGGTACGATTCCTCGGTTACTACTGGTACCTCATCCAGGTAGAATTTATACTTACAGAAACACTGTGAGAAGCAAGCAAACACTTTCACATGTGTGCACATCAACATGGCCTGGACTAATTATGATGCCTTTATCATTCATTGAAGAAACAAAGCTGACACCAGTACAAAATAAATGTAAACAAATACTCATTACGGTTTCTAACTCATTCCGTTTAACTTAAGTAAATGTCTTTACTTAAGTATTTTGATTGGTTAAACCTAATATGCTCAGGTATAGCTAAGCAGCACAGTTATACAATTAAGATACAACGTATCGACCACGTATCAATCTCACCCTGACTATTTTAGCAGGAAGCGTGGTAACCATTAGAATCTTTATTTTGAACGTAAGTTCGTGACCTATGAGGTCCTGTGGATTCTCCAGGAAGTTGTCTTTAGTTTCACACCCGTTTTCATCGCAGGGAATCAGAACAACATGTAATAGGCCTTGTTCGTTACCTGTTCAAAGCAAAACATTACTAAACCAACCTTTTAGTCATTCAGTAAACAAGAATGTAGTTACTTGAACAAGAAGTAACTGAAAAGTATGAAAATGGTATGGTAAATAGGTTTTGGTTACAATGATAATGACATGCAGTCAAACCTTTGAAATCGGTGATAGCCAGTGTTTCATCTAGCTCAATGACATATGCCAGAGACTGCAGATAGACATGGACCGTGCCTATAGGTACCTCTGTATCACTACCTTCCCAAAATGGATCTGTTTCCTACAAGGAAACAAAACTACAATGACGAAAAACTGTAGTCAATATAGAAAACTAAAGTAGATTTGTTACTAGTAGGTAAAATACTATTAATTTGAAGGCCACACAATTTTCTTTAGCAAACATTACAAAACTATCAAGCTCATATAATCTCGTAATTTGCATTAAAATTTAATTCGTAGCTGAACTTTGGAGTTTTCGACGTGTAATGTACCTTGCTCGTAGAATCCCAGTCGGGTTGACCCTCCATGTACTGTTGGTACATCGCCTGCATCAGATACATCCTGTTGGTAAACTTGCTTGTGCTCCAGACCCACTCATGACCTGAGCTCTTGTTTTTCATTTTCACACACACCTATGTAAGTGTAATGTGTGAGACCGATATTCTAACCATTATTATAGGGCAGGTCAATGTAAATATTTATGTTCTACCCATGCTATCCCTTTGCAAGAACTGGTTCGTAATTAAATTGATTTAAAAAGTGTTCATGCACACTACTTTACAATTACTGCTTACATATGTCCTGCCTTCCTTCAATCCTCGAGCCTGTGGTGCCACCAGCACTATCTCAAACTGAACTTTTCTGCCCAACTCCTGTGATATAGCATTAGCCTGGTTCATGTGAGGTAGTATCTGTATGAGTTCTTCTTCCAGAAGCAAGTCATCTGAAATTACCACTCATATTAACTCTGCCCGTAGATGCAAGTCGGAATACAGACAAAACTGTGTACCTATGCACCCTCCACAACATTTCTGAACTCGGGGTGGACCAAAATCACTTGATAAAGGTTATAATTTCCGGGAAAGTTATTCAAAATAAATGTAAGATGAAGAAACTGTAGCCTAAGCATTAGAGTAAAATTTAAGAAATTCAGGGAAAGCATATCTGGAAACAATCATGTTAGATAGGCCACTCTGAAACAAATACATGAAAGTTAAGCAGCGACTGCGTAATTAGATGTGTAGTTAGTTTATTTGGCATTTCACATCATTTCGATGGTAGAGACCTTGCGTTTTATTTCTTCCATCATTGCCTGTCAGACCAATGAGGCCCATGCGCTCTGCTATCTCCTGCTGGGCAGTATCATAAGTTGGCTGTTCCACCAGCAGTCCCTCTCGCAGCTGCTTCGCAAGATCCTGGGGGTTGTGCAACACGTACAGATGATTGTGTCCAAACAGTACCCTGAAAAATAGACATGGGTTTCATGTTTTTAAGTTGCAGTGGTTAAGGACGTAGAGATGATTGTGTCCAAACAGTACCCTGGAAAATAGACATGGGTTTCATGTTTTTAAGTTGTTAAGGATTCTCGTGCGTAATGGTTTTGTGATTCACCTGTAATTGTGATGTACCTGCTGCTGGGGTTCACTTATCATTATGACATACCTGTCATGGTAATGAACACCATGGGCATAGTGAGATACTTAACTTTTTGTTATAACTGTCATTGTGACATGCCCGTCATTGTGACGTGCGTGTCATTGTGACATGCCCGTCATTGTGAAATATGCATCATATTTATATACTTGTGATCATGACATACCTGTCATTGAGAGGTACCTGTTTATTATGAAATACCTGTCATTGTGACGTAACACCTTGCTGGCTTTGATCTCAGATCCATTCACAAGCACACGTGCACCGGTGCTGGGCACAACAGTAACCACGTTGCCCTCTTTTAGAATCACAGCATGATCTGGCAGTATGCTGCAAGATAATGGCATTTTGCACATATGTGATTGTCCACTGCGTTGAACTGATGTTAACATACCGGTTATACATTCGATTAGAGACATCTGCTAGCTTAGTGGAGTTAAAACTCCACTGAATTTTTGACTTCATCAAATGGTTACGCAGCCATAAATACAAAATGTAGACAATTGTTGCAGCAATCGACCGTGCATATCGATTTCGTGGACTCAGTGCAAGAGAGTCCTCTCTGTACCATCAGGGCACTACAAGTAGATTACCTAAGGCCACTCAAAACTATATCGGGCTTTATCTTGACCTTCTTTGTGCCAACCCTGGACTTGCCATCCATGGCGAAGTGCACAATCATGCCAGTCAGAGCCGGGTCCTCGTGAAGGTTCCACAGGTGGGGTATGGTCTTCTTCTTTAGTTCCTCCTTCCTTTCCATCTCCAGCTTTCTCTGGTGATTGGAGAGATTTCAGTTACAAGGGGCATGGCTACACACTGAATGTTTCTAGTGTGATGCACACTGTGCAAAATTTTATATGCAATATAGATACTTCTGCATGCAATATAGACTATATAGTATATTATTTCTATAGTTGGATGAAACAGATAACTTTTTTTAATATGGTTGTTGTTAACATTGAATGGGCTCTCAAAAAGTTAGTGATATTTGCAGTGTGTACTGAAATGTACTGTAATGTGTAGCATACCATGTATAGCATGCAACATGGTCTGTGTAAAATTTAGCATAGTGTGTATTATGCTTTACTGGCGAATTTGGAACACAAGTACATAGCGCAGTTCCAAGATGCTTAGCATAAGGTAGTGTGCACTCTGGCAGATGTCAACAAATGTGTAGTAGTCAACAAGCACGAACCTGGTTATGAACTTGAACGTCCTGCAAACGCTGTTGCCAAGACTTGTTCATCTGTTCCATCTCTTTCTGGTTCTTCTTCAGTTGCTCCTCTAATGCCCGCCTCATCTCCTCCTCATCTGCAATTCACAGTCACAGTTAACCAGTAGATGCAACAGCGATCAACACCGAGTTCACACATTGCTAACTTGACCATGGTCACTACAAAGACAAGAATTTATTACTTCACCGATTGGATTGTGATTTGGATTTCTGGTTAGACAGTTAGAGACATCAATGCTGACTGCTGCCAACACGTGTGCATACCACTGCCGGTGTTGGTAGGGGTGCCGTTTGCCTTCTCTAGCATCTGCCGCAACCTGTCATTCTCCTCCCTGAGAGCTCGAACCAATCTATCTGTAGAGCTCTCGTTCACGACAGCCTTCGTTTTAATGTTCTTTGCTCTGTTTGCTAGAAATGAATAGATACACTTGATACAAAACTCTGATGCCAGTTTGTGTGCGTGCGAGCGTGCATGCATGCGTGGGTGCGTGTGTGCGCAACTATATTCCTGGCTGATTATGACCCTACTGTAGGCGACAAGTACATTTACACTAGTTAACATCTGAAATGAAGATGATATTAACAAGTAATTGCCATCAATAATCTAGTAATATCTAACTTACCAAATCGCAATGTTGATAAAGTTTCCTCATAATGAATGTCAGCTGGGCTAATGGTAGCTATCATTGCTGTCTTGCTGTTGCCTCCAAGTGCATTTTTTAGCAGTTTTGTCAATACTGAATCTCTGTATGGCACTGATATAAAAAAACACAATTTGGATGTACAACCACAAATGCTAATAGTAGATGTACAAGGGTTAATAACAGCCAAAAATTTAGATTCTTAAATTTTTCCTACAAAGAATAACTGTACTAACTATAACTGATGTAATTGCTTTTTTGCAGGCTTGTCAAAAATCAGTCCTGTTGATTCTATTCCAAACGCTTACACTTACCACTGACCTTGTCCAATATTAAATTAATGATAGCCATATCTTGCCTTTATACGATTACTGTTGTGACGAATACTTAATAACAACAAATTAATGCCATATTTTGATGCTAATCACCAAATACTGATGGTAAAATACCTAGTATGTTCTGCTTGCCCTTGTTGATGTCTGCCAGACACTTGATTACATTACCCAGGGTGCTGAGTGACTGATTGATTATGGAGCCTTCCTTCAACCTATCACCCGATGTTCCTGACACATCTGACCTCTCACTGAAAGACACAATGCTCAGAGGGTAAATGTCGGTGTGCCATTCTTATTACAAAGGACACATCACCACTACAAATGTAATATAATAACTCCGAAGTTGTACACATTTTAAAAGCTGCTATCTGCTAGAACGTCGAGCGAAATTTATACAGACCTGCCAGCAAGATCGACCAGGTTAAGGCTTGCCATTTTTGTAGTATACTCTCCAGCACTGTTTCTCCCTCTCTGGTTAACATAGATTGTAACTATTGTATGAGCGCGACTGAAAAACAAGTACAAACCCTCTGAAAGTCAATGGCATATCATAGGATATCCCCATGGTAATATGATAATGAATGTATGGAGTACATCAGCCTCTCTTCTTGAAATCAACATAGAGAATGTGTTGTTTTGTAAACAACACTGATGACTAATGTCACCATCTTATTCTTCGTAGCATGCACGTGCAAATCAAACCTGCTAGTGGCGTTCAAGTTCGTGGCTGCCATTGTCCTATTCCTAGTTCCCTCAGCAATCCGAGACTCGATATCACCATACGTATAGACTGGGTGGGTGGTCAGGGACTCGACTGTAATGAAATTACAACCGGGGATATAATTTATAAATATGCTGGTTAAACATTGCAGTTTATACAGATTGCTAGTACTGCATTTAAAATTTTTCAATTGTTTACTATTTCGTGTCCACTGGGGAATGGTATTATACTCCAGTTTTGTCCTGTGGATGCCTATTTTTATTACCGCTTTGATACCAAGTACAGATGCCATGAAATAGTAGCCTAAGTGAAGCAATTTATATCTCACTATAATAACAATATGCATTGTCACTATTGTTGACACATGGACAGACCCATAGACAAAGGAATCATCATTGCGATTCACAAATCTCCATAACAGAGCAGCTAAAACCTCATGTATAAATAAAATTTTTACTACTAATAGTAATACTATAATAATTAGGGAGCAGTGGTGGTCTAGTTTATAGCGCACTAGACTTTGGCCTAAAAGGTCTGGGGTTCAAGTTCCAGTCCGGTTCCACAGTGACCACAGCGAGGAAGGCACTTTATCCAAATTGGTTTTAGTCAATATCTGCTGTATCTAACCAGCATAACAGCAAGCAAAAGATGAAGCCTGTTAGAGAAACCACAGCAAACCAGTTGCTGAGGACCTATGCTCCATGATTGGAGCCAAGGACATAAAAAATAGCACTACCAAAGCATATCTTAAAATCTTCACAGTACATTTAGAATAATAGATAATTTTGGTGGTAATTTTATTTAAAAATATATGCATAATAAACAAGTCTGAAAATTACTAGCAAACCATTAATCTGGATTCTATTTCATATGCTATGCATTTAAACTCATTATATTTACCAATTTTATACTTGCAATTGTTAACTGCTAATAATTCTAATTTTTAGCATAAACAACAAACATTGTGACTATGGTAGCATGTTAATAATGTAACTTACACACGCACAAACATGAACGATAATTACCATCAGCTTATTATTGATTATTAGTCCTTTTAATTAGTGTAGTCTAAAAATAACTCTACTCGTTGATCTATGCCTCTCTTGCAGTATCAGCGGCTTGGTTAAGGATGTATATTGATCTCATACATTTAGACTGGCAACAGTGTGATCGCAAGCCATTGGCTAGATGTGTATTTCTGTACAAGCGCCTTATGAGAAGTCAGTTACTCTACACGCTGATGCTCTTTGTTCTTCAGGTTGCTAGGTGAAAGCTAAGCAGTAACCACTCATGTGGGAATGCTAACGCAGGCCTTATTGATGTGCAGGAACTCTACATTCCATTCAAAGCTGGCAATTACATGCTGAAAACACCTGCAATGAACTTTGAACACATGTTGCAGCATAAGCAACATTTTCCGCTTATAACTGAATGATAAACTATATTCACTAATGGTAGCGTATGGTAGTAATGGAAATTGCCTGGAATTTCTTTATCAGTTTCGGTTCCAACAAAGATGGATAATCGATAAAAACCAGATAATAAGTTAATTATCAAAGTACATACACAACCTGACATTATCTGTCCTATAACTAAGAGAGCTACCCTGATTCTATAGTATTGTTTCATGCGTGTATTATGTCTTCTGCAAGCTATAAAGCTTCAGAATGAGAAGATATATGCTTAAAAGGCTTATTTCATCAATACCCCTATAATTTAAATCAATTTACTATGATCTTTTTTTCAAAATGGCTTCAAGGGATGGAATACTACTATTCTATATTATTGTTAATTATTTAAAATTTATACACATAAGTATGTGAACCTCTGTTGTTATGACATATTTAACTATATTGTCAAAATTTGTTTAAGGATACTGTCAGAATAAATCCCTCATTTAATATTTTTGTAGTCAAGCTGGAATAACTAACAATGTAAATAATGTAGCATTACCAATGTTTTCAGAGTTGTTCTTACTTCAATACTCAATAGTATAACTATGATGACCGATTATTTGTTTTCATAATTGATTACCTACTCAGTCGCCGTAAACGATCAACTTTCGATTGCAATCGATTATCAGGGCATCACTACCACATGGCACTACACCTCGTATCTATTGCTAGTATATCTATAATCTATAATCTATAATACTCTTACCATAAAACCCCTTTGTTGGATGCTGCCTGACTTTAAGTCCTCCCCTCAGTTGCAGATTCAAGTTCAAGAGATCACGTACTTGTTCATTGTAAATCTCCATCATGCTGACAGATACCTGTTCAACATATTTTATCTTGTTCACAGTTTGCACAAATTTCACGAGATTAAGCCATATTAGTGGTAAAATTCTACAAGTTAAATTAAGTTCAACTGTACAGTCAAGCCTGAATATAAGAATCACTCAAGTAATATGCCAAGTGTCCTATGAAGACAGGTGTCTAAAGAGGCACAGGTCTGACTATATGACCATTATTTTCACTGACTTCCAGCAGAGATGCCAGTTTTCACCATCACTGGTTGCATTGCAACGGCATGCATGTTAAATAGCTACACAGACCTTTAGTCATCTTTAGCCTTATTTTTATACAAAGTCAGTTTATCAGGCAAACATAATATTAGAGAGGTTTCACTTGATATATAGGTGCATAATTGTTACAATCTACCTGAAATTCCTGATCAGGTTTTGATGCCTTCCTCATCTCATCTATAGTTTTAAACAACTCTTCACACATGATTGGAATAATACCTATAGCAGGAAAATTGGCCGATTAGCTTTTCAAATCAAAAATTTGAAACATTTAACAATTTATAAGTAATACCCACTTATTAGTATATACTAAACAATCATTGATGTTGATAATTTAATAAATTTAAAAAATTATATTGGATTTCTTGTGGAAGTTTTGTATTCGAGTTTACTGATTGCTAAACAACCCTTTTTTAATCTAGATGTGTGTTACCTTTGTTTGCACCAAAGCCCATTATTGTGTAGCTTTTACCACTGCCAGTCTGTCCATATGCAAACAACGAACAATTATATCCTTTCGTAACATTAGTAAGCATTTCTTTCCCCAAGTCTTCAAACATTTGTTTCTGGAATGGAATTACATATGAATGGTACATTTCAGGACTGGAAATTCACAAGGGCATCAACGGCAAATGCTGTATAACAGTATTTGCTCTCGCTTCTCGTAATTGCCACTGTAAATTGGCCAATATCCAAGACAATAAACCACCATGGCTGCCCTACGTGGTTTGTCCCCATACCCATCCCACAAATTCAATGCTGTGTGTGTATCTCTTTTGGTCTCGCATAAAAGTTTTGCTAACGGTAAGAGGCCTTGATAACAAATAAGACATAAACCACTCCCTTCAAGGGATAACCCTTCTTCGCATGAGATATTAGCCTTCATCTCCCTCCAACTTGCTATGGTGACCTAAAATTTCTGATGACTATAAAGGTAACACTTGCCGTGTTCTCAAAAATTTAAATTCAACACCAAATTCTTTATTAATTAGCTTGCATAGTTCAGCTAATAATGATGTGCATCATTTTTACAAAATAACCTAAGAGCCTACAGACAACATATAACATTATACATACGTAACAACTACTAGTAATTTCATACTTGGTCTACATAGGATGGAGAATCTGGCTCAAGATATCCATCCGATCGTTGCCAAAAGCCGTCCACACTATTGTACGAGTAGTCGAATGTGTACTGCCTGGCTTCTCGCTTTGTATTAGCTGGGTCGTAAAGTATTGTAGTTTTGTCTATCACAGTGATTACGCATGTTGCATTTCTTAACTTTTCTCGTTCGCTGTAAGTTTTTTGTTAAGGAATATAATGCAATAAACTACATACGGTTAAAAATAAATAGTTTCTAATCAGAATTAAACACATGCACAGGACACAAATATTTAGATCTTACAAATACTAGAATCCCACGAGACATTTTAGTTAAGTAATACTTTCAATTCACATGGCTAACATACAGTGCCATAAAGCAAATTATACATACACACACGTGTGTGCGTGCGTGCATGTGTGTTAGGGGGGTAAAGATTCACCAATACATCAATTGCTGAATCGTGCGTGATACAGTGACCCACTATACGATAGTCGATGCGCAGCATCCGTATCGTGAATAAGGCAAGCTAAACTATTTGATTCTTTCTTCTACTTTATGAACTCCCTCTCAGTATCACGTAAATATCCGCGGCAGTTGCAGAAATCTGGGTAAATATACGTGGTGCGCTTGTATTGCGAGTGCCAATTGACTGGTGCGTGTTGCTACAGCGCACGTATCGTAGTCTCTTTTACTGTGTATGTCATACACGTGAGTGGATCTGTCAATCACAGGTCAGTCTAGAACCCACTAAGAACAGCTCAGTGTGTTTCTGCCATAGAAATATATATATATATATATATTATATAGTAACTGATTGTTTACCACATATTTTTATGACTTTGACATACTTATAATAATATGTTTGTATTATGAAAGTATTGGAATACATATTTATATATACATTATCTTTCTATATGTGTATCGCAATATGTGTTGTATCGTGACTTTAGTGTATCGTTACACGGTGTCACATCTAGCATGTGTGGGTGAATGAGTGAGGTGTCACCATGCACCAGGTGACATTTTCTCTCTCAAACTATGTGACCATCGTTACACAGCCGCAGAATTTAGGTGACCCAATCATGGTTTACTGACACCCTATCAATGGTAATACTAACGTGTGTTCATAGTGCCATGTCGCTATCTAATAAAAACATAATAAGTGCAATGCATATAGTTTGTCCAATATCACTGCTGGTTACATTACAAACAAGACTTGAAATCGGTTGTTGATATGTATCAACGTATCATTTACATGCCGTAAATGTCATCCAGGAGTCAAGCGATGACGTAAACATTTGTGCGGCCCATATGTTTTGGACGCCAGATGAAACGGAGGTGTCAGCGGTGTAACCACAGCCACGGACTAAACATGGAAATAGAGTAAAACACACGTACTAATCACGGACGCACGTGGACAACCCTGACAAAAAGTTCCTTATCACGAGCGTCCATGTTTACGAAATCACTGATGATAGCATTGCGTATGGCCGAGCATACGTGCGAAAATGTCCAGTGCACTATAAATCTGTATCACACCCGCTTCGCCGGCAGCGGTTTGAAACTGCAAACAACAGATTTTTGGACTGCGGATTAGACATTTCTTTGTAACCAGCAGTGATATTGGACAAACTAATACGTGTTTGGCTACAAAGTAATGTACTTATTAACTACACAAGGTGCCAGTTACTCTAGCATTCGTCAACATTGCATAATCAATGGACCTATTATTCCTTTAAACGTTAGTTAGAGGTTTAATTTTAGTATTTGTAGTAACTTAAGACATTTCGGAGAAGAGGGCTTACTTGGCGTACCACAGGCCGCAGACGTTTATAACCGCAAAAAAAAACACTAAAAAGTTTTCCCTGAAAATAAACATAGAACTTAAGGTAGTATCTCACTGGGCTGCGACTGTTGGCGACAAATTGCGAACGGCATTTGCGAGGAAGATTCCAAAATGTCTCGAAACGTCAGCCAGGGCGTTCTTCAATTTTCCTCGCGGCTGTGAGTCGCAGGGCCCTCGGCTCTCATGTCGCTGGAATTTTGAACATCGTTGAAAAATTTGTGCAAACAAATTTCTCTCTCAAACATAGTCACACGAGTCGTCGCGGGTGTCTTGAACGCCGGTCTCCACCTTCTCAAGCTTTAGCGTTCCGTGAGTCAGAAAGTGCCGAGTAATGTGAGACACTTTGTGAGGGTCTTGGCGACCTATGAAAACTAATTGTGGGGTCCTCATCCAGGCAGCTTCTGCACTTCTCTTCTCTAGTCCCATCTCCGCTTGACGTCCTGATTGACAAAATTGATTGCTGGCACTGGGGAGAGGGCCCCGTATTTAAATGGGGTCCAGATTTCTCAAGTTGTCACCATAACTGGTGCGCGAATGTTGCACGACATTCTGCCGTGACAGTCACAAGTGCAAAAATTTGCTACGTGAGAGAGAGAGAAGACCTAGCAGGGTGTGTTGTGTGTGTGTGTGTGTATTGTGGTGTGTGCCTGTCTGTCCCGTTGTGGTGAGAGAGAGAGAGAGAGAGAGAGGAGAGAGCTGTGCGTGTGTGTGTATACGGCATGTGACTAGGATGGGCACGCAGTGCCATTATATTGCCTATATTTACGGCGTGTAGCAAGTCGCGCGATCACTGTGTGAGTGCGATCGTCTCCAGTTCGCGTTAGCTGGAGGCTAAGCCGACCGGTTCCGTGACGCGTAGCCACTGCGATTTACGTGTCATGTGTGCACGCAGCTAGCGTTGTCTTTTTGCCCGTCGGCCAGCGGTGTGACAGTGTTAGGCCGCAGACATGAGCATCTTGGACCGCATTTACAGGAACATGTCGACAATAATTAGCCCCGTGAACGAGAGAGAAAAACATTAAGACTTTGTAGTAAATATATTTCGTATTTATTTAGCATTATAGTTTATATTTTATTGAAACGCTCCAACTCAAGCTGCTGTGGACTTTGTCTGCTGTGACTGTGTCTCGTGAAACCACAGAGACCGAGATCTCCGATTACTAATTTATTAGTAATTATTAACAAAACAGTAACTAACCAATTACCCCTGAACGTGTAAGTACATGACATGGCCTGCATAACTACAATTTTAAACTAGATCAACTTAGAGTCTGCATTTTATTTACAAAGGATATGAAGGGCCTAAACTCTAACAGCAACTTTTACGTTCTCCTCCATGATGTACAGTAAAAACCCGCGTATGAAGAACATTAGATTTTCAAGCAACACTGTCTTAGGCTAAAATTTCCCATTTAGACCCCTTTACATAAGACCTGTTTTAGGCTAAAATTTTAAAGTAGGTCTCTTATTTTCGCAGTGCAGATGAAGTGACTTATAAAAGAAAACACAGGGTAAAATAAAAAAGAGACGCTCAACATATCGCATGCATAAACAATTGCCAATGCCACATGCCAATGGCCAATGCTCAACCAATAACATATGGCAGCACCCTGGCATTGCTTTTGAGACGACGTACTGCATTACTATTACATTATACAGTAAAAGACTCGCATAAAAGAACACACGTCGATTAAGAACACTTCAGGCGCTGAAACTGCGGGTCAAAACAGTTTGCATATACATAAGAACACATTCAGGCCTAAAAAATATAAAACTTGTTTGTTATAAAAAAAAGTTGTGGGAAATTTATCTTCAACCATAAAAACAAACATGTGCAACAACGTAAAGCTCTCCATATAACACTTATAACATAACACTTACTGTACTGGTAACACATGCATCACATGTCACTAAGCCCGCGCCTAGCGCGGTTTCAGCTAGTACATATTAAAAGTTAGAAACAATTAAGAACCTATTAAGAACCTTTTTGAGCCTAATTTTTCAGTTGCAGGCCACCATTTATATAAGAACATGTTGAGGCTACTTGCGAGAAAATTTCTACTGTTCTTATAACGGCGGTTTTTACTGTATTGTTATTATCTCGCACTCTCGCGATATCTCGTTTTCGGATTACGAGGGGTGTACTATGAATTTCTGCGTGGAATTTGTTGTCGGCTTTTTGTGATAATATCACGTAGTAGCATTATAAATAAAAAATCATTACTAATAGAGCATTGCGTAGCTATAAATATTGGCGTAAACTACATTATGTTGTAATAGGGATTAAACATATAGCGTTTATGGAATCACTTTATATGACGATATAATGATTTCATATTACACCCCATACAAAACGTGAAGGCGTGTGTTCTTGGAATTTGATACTCTACTACCAGAATACATCGAGTTATTGTGGAAATACAGACACCCTTCAAACATGCAGGTAAATGTCGGATTTCTGTAAAATGGCGCACGTTTTTTCTGTAGTAACTCAGTATTTGTCTAAAATGTACTGTACAGTGTACTGTAAGTGTAATGTCTAGCGAAATCAAACTCTGAGACTGAGTTTCTAAAAATAACTTCGTCCGATCTTACTCTAGTCTATCTAGCTCCAGGAAACGGTCTTGCTAATCACTTTGTATTACAAGACCTGATTGTATGGACAATCAGTCGCACAGCCTCGTCGAGCTACGGCGTAGCCCTTTCGCTCCCGTCACAGTACAGAGCTAGTACTAAGTAGTAATAGCTGAGAGGGTCTATGTCCACCAGGGCCACGGTAGGTACTGCCGGAACGTATCCGTACCCTTGGTACGGTCTGGTATACCGGAACGTATCCGTACCCTTGGTACGGTCCGGTATACCGGAACGTATCCGTACCTTTGGTACGGTCCGGTATACCGGAACGTACCCTGGTACTATCTCTACGAGTCTAGGGAGTCGCCTACGCCTACTCTCTAACCCTAACCCTAACACTCGCAGCTAGGGCCTGCATGTACCTCCCACAGTTATACTCGGTCGGGTTTTGAACACATTCTAACTCTAAAACTGTTACGTTAAAAATTCTTAAAATAATTACATAAACAGGCAAGACGGTTGTCATTTTGAATACGAAGTTTTATTTCCTATCGTGATTCGTAGTTTATTTCAAAAGTTATATCAGCCAAAAGTTGCTACCACGCCCGCTAGATCGCCCGCGCCATATTGTCTATATTTGACCAGCCAGCATTGCAATCGAGTCAAGGTAGCAACTTTCGACTGATATAACTTTTGAAATAAACTACAATAGGAAATAAAACTTCGTATTCAAGATGACAACCGTCTTGCCTGTTTATGTAAATATTTTAAGAATTTTTAACGTAACAGTTTTAGAGTTAGAATGTGCTAAAAACCCGACCGAGTATAACTTTGGGAGGTATGCAGGCCCTAGCTGCGAGTAACCCTAACCCTAACCATATCAGATATTACCAGGGTATGTTCCGGCAGTACCCTGGGTGACATAGACCCTATGAGCGCTAGTATACATCAACCTATGTTGTGATCGGACGAAGGATGTTTACAGCGTGGTCGGCAACGCTGTAGTTCGTAACACAATAAAAAATCGCACTAACCGGCAACATAAACTAGTATTCTTTAGGCTTTAGCCGGCCAGCTCTCTCTCTCCCTCTCTCTCTCTCTCTGTCTCTCTCTCCCTTCCCCTCCCGTCTCTCCTCTCTCCCTCCCTCTCTCCCTATTTCCTCTTTCTCTGCCTCTCTCTCTCTTTCACTGTCTTCATGCCTATTCCTTTATTGTCTTCCTTATCTCTGTGCCTCCCCACTTCTCTGTCTCTTTCTCTTGCTCTGACTGTCCAACTTGTAACTTAATTTGCTCTCATAGTCTCTAGAGCTGTAACGATCCACCGAAATCAAATCGAATCGCGATTCTCTTCCCTCGATCCGATCCTCGATACTTTTTCCCGTATTTTCGATCCGATCCAACCCGCTAGTACTTCATACTGTGTGCATCGGCCGAAGCATGTGTGAGAAGCCCGATCTGATTGGTCAATAGTCCTGACTCGCCAGTCAGCTAATCAGCGGCTACAGCACATCGCTAATATGTTTACAGGGCTGCAGTTAGACGTGACTGCTCGCGTTACACTGCTTGTCGAGCACGGACCAGTCTAGGCTGCAGTTTCCTGAGTTTAATTATGAGCTTAAAGTTATTTAGTTAAATAAAATTGAGAAAAAAGAAATAATGTAATAGTTGGTTAAGAGTTTTTATTGCAAAATAATGAAAATATAAAAAATAAGATAACATTTTATTAAGATTTGGAATTTTCCACTTACCCAATGTGTCACCTTCTGCTACCAGTACTCTTTGTAGCAACCAATGTGCAACATGTTGTGGTTGGTTGAAAATTTAAAAGGAAAAATGAATGGTAACAGTGTGATACTGCAGTGAGGCTATTGACGTTCAGCTAGTACCGCTGACACATTTACATCAACAGTAGTTCTGTTTTAGCTACTGTTTATATAATGATATTACGGGGGTAGAAATTAACTTTTGAACAAAGGAGTCAAACAGACTCCCTGCCCTCAAAAAGAGGGAGCCCGCGGCAAAATGAGAGAGTCCGCAGTCTGAAGTCCAAAATTAAAGATTAGTTGCACGTCTGCCAAATTTTCTTTGGACATTTGCTGAAAAAATACGGTAATTCCGCGAGGCTGTGCTCTGGAACAAACTAGTTTAAGTTAGTATGGCAGAATTTTTCAGGGAGTCACACGGACTCCTGCATATGTCAAATCAGGGAGTATTTGACTCCGGACTCGCGTTAATTTTGCACTCTGATATTATATTACATACTAATTTTTACCATTCAGTATTTATATAGATATATATACGTGTGTGTAGGTGCGTCACGATTTATTTGTATTCCTTTCTTTAAAAAATTGTTTCAGTAACATGAAGAAACCCTTATAATAGTAATGAATTAATATGAAATTGATGCTTAAACCTGCAGAGAATTTATCATTTAGCTTGACTGTATAGTGCCTATTGACCTATTTTAGGACCCAAATGCTGACACGGAGTGGAATGATGTCTTGCGATCTAAAGGCATTCTGCCACCAAAGCAAGAGGCAGAAATCACAGAGGAGCAAATTCAACAGATTCTTGATCAAACTATTCAGGAAAAGGAAAACAAGAGTAAAGGTGAAAGAATGGTTGAGCACAAATTATTTTTAAGTGTAAATAAATGCTAGTTTAATTGGAACTAATGCTGGAATGTTGTCATATTTTAAGGAAAATCATATGAAGATATGGATCTTGATGAACTAGATGAATTTGAAGATGAGGAGGATGAACGAGTATTGCTACAATACAGGTAAATGCATGCATTTATAAAAATTTAGAGAAACATTAATTATAGAATGATTCAGTTTGAAATTGAATAAAAGGTACATACCATTGATGGTACAAATTCCACTTCAAATTTCTCTCTCTCCCTTCTCTCTCCATTCCTCCCTACTTCCCTCCTCCCTGTCTCTCTGTTGATATATCTCTATCTATTTATCTATTCATCTATATATCCATCTTATCTATTTATCTCTCTATTAAAGATTTGGATCTTGGAAATCTGTGACCCTGCATTTCTTGATATCTTTTACAGACAACAGCGTATAAATGAAATGAAGAAATTACAGGAAAAATCACGTTTTGGTGATGTGAGAGAGATCAGTGCTGAGGATTACACGACGCATGTGAACAAGGCAGGGGAGGGAGTATGGGTTGTATTACACCTGTATAAATCTGGGTAAGTGATGCAGTTTATTAAAATCTCAAAAATGTGAAATATGTTCCTTTCACCAAATGTAGCAATGTTGCTTGCAGGTATATCTATTTTAAGTTGCTAGTGGCCCATGCTGCTTAGTAGGTATTTCTGAGAGGACATTTTAACAGTACCCCACTAAAAGTTCAAACCCATATAGAAGTGCACTTCAGTATGAGGTCGGTATGAGCGCCCCTGCTCAATCTTTTTCTGTATAATCTTCTTTGAATTTATGTGATATCTACTAGAATTGTACAAAAAAGGGTAAATATATCAGTGAATATAATCACAACTAAATTTGAATATGCTTTTGTTTGAATCAGGATTCCGCTCTCTGCACTGATAAACCAATTCTTCTATGAACTTGCTGCAAAGTTCCCTTCAACGAAGTTCCTAAAGAGTGTTTCATCAACGTGTATACCAAACTTTCCGGACAAGAACCTGCCAACAATCTTCATCTATTATGAAGGGGAAATGAAGAAACAGTTTATTGGACCTCATACATTTGGAGGAATGAACCTGAAAAAAGATGGTAAGCTAAATCAACATTTGTCAACTGGTTGATGGCAACACTTAGTATCCAACTTAAAACAAGAAATTGAAATCAAGTTACGCTTTTAGAGATACTCAATTTATGGCAGCGTTGGTGCAGAAGTGTATAATTAGGTTTTTATAAATCTTGACGTGTGCTGCAAATATGGATGGATAGTTGCACTTTTTACTATAATCTTTTGCTCATTATTTAAAGTAATTTGATGGTAAGCATAATCTTTAATTGCTTTTCCTAATTTTGTTTCGTAAATTTGATTTTTAATCTTTTGATTAAATTTATATCATTTTTGCTATTTTAGATTTTAGTTGATTGTTAGTTATATTTTCATTGATTTGTTTCATGACTCATAATTTGTGGAAAGATAAAGGTGTGCTTACTTGTATACCTATTCTCCTGCACAGAACTAGAGTGGATGCTGTCAGAAATTGGAGCAGTAAAGACTACTCTTGAGGAGGATCCAAGGAAAAAGATTGTCGACATGATGGAATCAGCTGTGCGCGACTCCAGAGCGAGAAACGACAGTGACAGTGATGATAATGACTGGTAGATGGTAGCTGTAATGCTTACACAACAGGGTGTGAAGTTTAACAGAAATACAAGCAAGCAGTGTTGAATGAGAAATGTATTCGCGGCATGCCTATATCCTGGTTCTCCTGTAGTATATTTGCAACCATAAGACTACTCGATAATAAAATGAAGGAAATTCTAAACTCCTTTTCCGACCGTAAATGGTTGGTAACGGGGTATGGTGACCAGTATGATCAGCATAAAAAATAAACGTAATTTTGAGACTGGTTACAATTTTTGCTCAAATATAAAAGCCTTCTCATACGGCTATCTGAAACGGAATGCACGTACTATTTTTATTTGAAACGGGAAGGATTAGAAAATGGGGCAGTTGTTTTTATGCACTGGTGTATTCTTTAAAATATTGTTCAACTTTGAAAGTTTTGCAACAGTAATCCTGCTTATAAACATACAGTATCGGATTGGTGTTTTAAAAACGCTATTAATTTATTTAATAAGTAGTTACGATTTATTTTATAGTAACTAAATGTTGTAAAATGTACATTCTATTTCATCAACTCTGTTATGACAAGTTACTAACAATATTCATATTGTCTTGGCCAAAATATGCTGCATAAAATTAATTGAAAATATCAGATTAGCCCATTTAAATTAAAAGAGGATTAACAATTCTAAACGGAGGCAGTTAAACTTTCACATCTCTTCGCATACTGTTGAAGTTGTATTTTGTCTTGGGCAGCGTGATGCCGTTAGGGGTGCAATAGGGTCGCTCGCATTTCATTAGTAATATTGTCTGCAGATGGCAGCAGGGTATATGCATTTGTAAGTTTATAACTACGAACAATATACGACCAGTAGGAGTAAATGTAACAAATGTCACAAATAACGTTGTTTGTATAATCTCCTGATACAATGGTGCATTGTTACACAATGTTAATATATATATATATATATAGTAATATTATATGTTGACAACTTGTGTACTCATTGCATTTTGTACATGTAGACTATGCTAGTGAAATTATCTTAGTTTGCCATTATCCGAGCTAATTGTGTCTTTTCTATACATTGGGTTTCCTCTTTGCATGACATTCAGTTTTGGGTGAAATATTTTCCATAGATATCGAGTTGGATTTGATTTGATTGGGCAATCGCGTGTTAATGTTTTGTCGCGATATGTTAGAGACATTTTGTCATATTTATTCTTGTAGCCATTGTTACCAATCTCTGGTGCTACTAAAGGTAATTTTAATTATTAAATTTTTTAATCATTTAATTTACTTTGCACGGTAGTAAAAATATTGCGTAATTTTGATTATTATTAGATTTCAATGATTTCTTACATTTCACATTATCTTATTATTTATTTAATATAGCTATGTAAATATAGTAGCAGAAACCGTAAGAATATAGAATGTATACAAAATGTAGTGGCAGCATCATTTCGCATATCTAGTTTTTGTGCTAATGTGAGTTTTTGGTATAAAAACCAGCACAGATTGTGTATTTATACCTATCAGTCTGGGTTTAAATAAAAGGAATAATAAATATTGTTTTATACCGCATAATAATTGCATCTCTCAATTACTTGATTATTTTTGTGAACACGATACTCTGGATTGGTAATATCACATATCATGAACCTACAGTTATGTTATTCGGAAGTTCGTGAGATGAACGTTTTCAAAACTAGTTATACCATATCTGAGTGTAATCAAAAGTTTCTCGTGAAATGTTCTATGTTATTATGTTTGCCAGAAATTGCACATTTGTTAGCCAGAAGTGGATATTAATAATTGAATGCTGCTGAAAACCGTTATTTTTGTGCACAGTTACGTGCGTGGTCTGCGTGCGGTGTACTTGTGCGTTACAGATGAGCATTTGAATGGAATTTACAGGAAATTATCGGTAATAATAGGCGAAAGACAGTAGCGAAACATTAAAACTTTGGTAGTAAATACATTTCATGTTTATTTACCATAATTTTATTATTAAAACGTGCCAAGTGTCGGTGCGACGGTGGTTGTTACGGTTCAGTGTAGACTGTAGTGTGACTTGTGTCCAGTGAAGTGAAGCGTGTGTCAGGCTCATGTATCGATTGTGCGTGTCAGGCATTCGCGTAGTTGTGTGAGTAGGAGGTCGAGAGAGCCAGTGCGTAGCGACCACCAACACGTCGCCACACATACACAGAAGATGGCGGAGCATTCGTTGCAGCTTACGGCTGATGAGAAAGCGGAATTAGCGGAATTGTTCGACACAGTAAGTGTTTTACATCAACAGTGTAGTCGTGGTTTCGTTTTGTACATGTAGTTTTGAATGTTCGCAAATTTCGTCGAATGCGAGTTCGAGTTACGTTTTGTTGATATTCTTGTTGCTGCACTCCTAATTCCAAAGTCCGAAAGTTATTGGGAACGCAGCAGTCTGTAGGTACGATAATGTATCCCTAGGTGAACAGAACCTGTTCATGCAGGGCTACATCATTTTATCTGTCATGCTGGACTGAGCGTCCTTCTAGAGTTCTAGGAATAAAGCTAGAATGACAATGTAGCAGGAGAGGTGTGTTGTGGCGTGTTCACTTACACGATTGCATCGAAGTGCTGTTAGTGTGTTACACAATATCTGACAACAGTTGACTATTCATGTGCGCGTAAACCTGCTTATTCATAATGATATAGGACGAGTACGTGAGAGGTGTCTTATCGAAATCTAATCTAAAAGGACATTTTCCCACATATTTGAACTGAAGAGTCAGTTTGACTCGTCAGTTTATGGTGAAGAGACAGGAATTCTAGAGTGGACCTAGCCACAAGTTTCCTTCTCGTTGGCGAGAGGTCCTATGCCGTGTAATGGCCCTGTCACACCTTGACGACTTACCAACGAAAGCCAGCTTATACCGACGTATGAAAAATTTGGTGAATACGCTGGCGTACGTCGAATAAGTTATGGGTAAGCTTTGTATAAGTTAAGAGCACGCTGAAGCACGCTGGTATACGTCGTAGTACGGTGAGTACGTCGGAACAAAGCTTACCGATAACTTATTCGACATACGCCAGCGTATTCACCAAATTTTTCATACGTCGGTATACGCTGGCTTTCGTTGGTAAGTCGTCAAGGTGGGACAGGGCCATAACAGTCGTAGAGCCTGGTCGGTTTAGAGTCAGTGGACCATGTGTTACGAACTTAGCTTTGTACTATTTTTGAGTGCATGCAGTAGGAGTTCCCTATGCTACCTTCCGTCCTTTGACAGTCTGACTACTATGTGTATCTAGTCTAGTATTGGAGCACATAAGTGATGTTATTAGTGTTATTATTGGTCTTGCTGCATGAGAAGTTGAGAACGTTCCTGTTTTAACACCAGATACATTCCTAATTATGGTTATTAGCAACCAGGATGAGCAGTGGCATAATGGTTAGAACTTAAAAATTCATGTTGATGGGTTTGTCGTTTGCACCTGCCTGGAATGCTGTTGCTGTGTCTTCATCCAAGGCACTTTATTTCGTTTTTGTTTCAGTTTACACCAGTTGTAAAATTGTGTACAAAGTGAGATAGATGGGTGTTAATAATCAATGCTTGCACTAATTAAAACCATTGGTTTTAATTGAGAAAAATAGAACCACCCTCACAACACATAATCAATCATTGAAAAGGTGAGCAGGTCATTTTTAGGAACTCCTAAACTTTACCACCATCTCAGACTTCACTGAGTATTCCATAAACTGGAAAAGGCTAATGCCTGGCGCACATTGCCGAAAATTTTCCCAAACAAATGTTCGTCCAAACAAATGTTTTTGTCTGGCAATGTGCGGGTGAACAATTGCTGAGCGCACATTGCCGAACATTTTCCCAAACAAATGTTCGTCCAAACAAATGTTTTTGTCTGGCAATGTGCGGGTGAACAATTGCTGAGTGCACATTGCCGAACATTTTGCAGCGAACAACCTCGTGGCGGCGTCTAGTAGCTGTGTTGTAAAGAGTCACGTGATCGGTGCATGATTGGGCACAAAAATCATGTGACCACATATCGTGCTGCTATTGGTTACTACTTTACAAATGTTCCTAGAATTGTTCGACATTCATCGCACATTGACGAACATTTGACGAACAATGTTCGTGATATCAAACATTTCTGATCTTCAGAAACATTGTTCGGAACAAATGTTCGGCGACTTTTTTCACCGTACATTGCGAACATTTCATGGAACATTGCTACGATAATGTTTTTGAGCAAAATGTTCGGACGCGACTTTTTTTCACCGTACATTGGGCGACATTTCCATGGAACATTGCTACGATAATGTTTTGAGCAAAATGTTTGGCAATGTGCGCCGGGCTTAAGGCTGTACTAGTCCTACAAATCAACTGTAACAGACGAAGCAAATAGAAATAGTAAAAGAAATACCTTCTCAGTAATGGTAAAGAACCGGTAGCAAGACAAATCCTCATAGAAACAAATAAATTTGACCCTGGACACGCTCCACGGATAGATTGTGGTTTTGTTATGAGCTATTCAACCTAATAGTAATACTAGTGATAAGTAGAGGGAAGAAATCGCCCATTGGAGCAAAGGATACATAACTAACTTCTAAAGGTTGGAGAATCATGGTTTACAACGGTTATAGGAAATTAGTAGTCTTACCTTCGCGCCGAAAGGATCATAAACAGTGTTTATGCTTGAAAGAGTTTCTGGCTTGAGCAGGAGTTAAGACAATAGTGTAGCCAAAATGAAGACACCAACAAGCAAGCTTCAGCCAAGATCAATCTGGCACCAAGACTAAATAATATGCCGCGCAACTCAGTAGAGCAACCATCGAATAGAATTCAGCCTTGTATGGCAAACTTTTGTGGATTTTGAACATTTGATATCCTAGAGAGAGATACGGAGCCATAGACATAACTAGTAGCCTACAGTAATGTAAACTCAACAGGGAGTAGGGGAGTAACCATCTACTGGGTTACCTTATAAGGTGTTGACTGTGGGTAATATGGCATGGACTGAGCGTGGGTTTAGCATCGTCTTTAGCATGGGCGTGTCGCTGTAAATGATTGGCCTAGGGGATGTTTTGCTGTTGTCTTCAACACAGGCACTTTATATCGCAAGTTGCTTGCAGTTGACAACGTCACACCCATTTACAATTTTAGATACTATACTATGGCCAATGTTAAGTGATCCAGCCTTGAATACAAGAGGCTCGAGTTAAAATTTTGGCAAAATTAATGTAAACACCGTTTTCAGGTGCCGCATAGGCAAGGCACTCCTAATGCGCCAAACCAGCTATCGATAATACCCTGCAGGGAAGTGACATAGTGGTCGTGTACTCGCCTGTAGCAGAGAAATGATCAGAAGGTTTATAGGCACTTGTAATCAGATTACCCTGCCCTTGTGAGTGGTGTCATCAGTCAAATAGTATATTGTTTATAATTGATTTTTGGTTTCAACCTCAGAGTTATGGGTGCCCTGCATCTTTATTGCGTAGATTTTTATTGACTGATCATTCACTGGCTTTGCACAAACATTTCAATGACCGTTTGATAATGTAATGTACAGTACTCGTTTCCTAATGTTAATGTAGCGGTCTCTGTGCTGAGAGTACCCTTTACTCAAGTCGGTTGCATTAGGAATGATTGAATATATTATCAAGCGTACATAATAGTTAGATTATGTACTGAAGTGCCTTATGTGACTGATACTGGTGACTATGTATTATGTAAGTACTCTTGATATTATGTTAAGCATGGTGTTTGACACAGGTGAGGGTGGAAACGAAATAACAGCCCGAGTGTAATTCACTAAAATGTCACAGGCACGGCATAACATGTATTATCAGGAGTTAATAAAGACAATTGCGTCCTTTAATTAACTTCCTGCGTAATTATCTGTATGCAATATATCTTCAATGCAATTTATCGTATAATCATCTGTATTGCATCATATGCATCAATTCATCTGTAATGCATCTCTATATGTTAGATTGTTCATCATAATGGAACTGTGATTCTAAGAAAAGTTCAGCTATATATTTTTTTGTGGGCAGTACATTAAAAACTCCCTAAATGTCGATGGCAAGAAAATGCGAAATAATCTATTAATATTGTAGCCACTATCGTATTCAGCAGAGCCGTACTGTGTCAAATTTGGCTGTCTGTATATATGCACTGACTGAGGCGATAAAGCTGGTGTTATTTGTTAAATCGCGGGTCAGAATGCGGAATAAATATCAAGGAGTGTAATCAAATTTTTGATACACTCCTGATCATATGAGGAACGTGAAACTTTTGGTAGTTAGTTTGTAAGCCTATTAGATCGCCTTCATTAGATAAAACGCGTGCGTCGGTACTATAGCCTGGTAACATCGGAGACATATCTTCTTTAGCGGGATTTAGAATACTTTCTATAGCTTTTTAGTGTGTAGAACTAACTGGCGCTAAGGGGTCGTTGGTCGTATCAGGTACTCCACATATCATGTTACACAAAGTGGTAGCGCAGAGCTTTGTTACTATAGTAGAAGTGACCGGCTAACCGCTACCCTAACCCTAACCACCCTAAACGCCAACGTAAACATACCGTCCTATAAAAATATAACATAATACGGCCTGAGTAATACTACACAAGCCTAAAGACTAGCGCTCTCGGGTAGCATAAATATGATTGTCGTACCTGATAGCGACAACGACCCTTCGTCGGGGCATACATGGGTCATATGTTTACACGATAACGGTATAGAACGTTACTGTCCTTGGTGTCGCTTTCATTGTGTATTCTACCGGCAGCTACAGTATAAAGGAGCATGTAATATTTGCGCATCGCTTATGGCAAAGTGTGACGAATGCTACAGTAACTGGCACTGTGTAGTTAATAAGTACATTACCTTATAGCCAAAAAACGCGTATTAGTTTGTCCAATATTACACTAGCTAATGTTACCTAACGCAAATGTCTCATTGAACATCCGGTAAATCTCCGAGTAATGCTGGCGGCCACACGCTATTTATTGCAACAAAATAAGGCATCGATCTTCGGGTTCGCGTGACCTCACATGTTGGCTACAAGGATGTTGAGCGAATCGAATTGGTTTGTCCGGGTAATTGTTTGGGCCTAGTGAGGCATATCGCTTTTTCACATATTAATATGTTGGGCTTTGTAATCTCAAGACCTTCGTATATTCAGTTTATTCCCGCCGAATCCCAAAGAGTAATAACTAACGTACGGAATGCGGCACTCAGACCACAAAGGATCGAAATCGCCACTAGACGGCGCCGAG